TAAAATAATGGAGCATATTCCAATATGGGAATTCCACATGCGAATTTCAGCTAATTTAGGTTACCTATTAGTCTCATAAGGAAAAGACCACATGAGTTGGTCTCAATTAATCTGGACCAGACTAAAGGAAAAAAGGAAGTTTAGCCACTTCTAGGTAACGGATCAACACCCGAATACCCTATATTCGATGCCTGTGATGAAGAGGGTTCTATGATCATGAATGACTTTGGAACTCCATTACTCCATAGATAAATAAAACTGTAATGTTCTTTCTCACAATAAAGGTGGTGCTGGATGCAATCGGCAAAATCTATTCCAAAGTCAAGGACGTTGCACAAATTTATGATCTAACAGTTAAGATATGGTCTAAGAAACAAGGACACAAATTAATAAATGAATATTCTAACATGTTAAAAAATTGATAGGAGGAAATGGACCAATAGCATAAGCAAGGATCATGGATTGCACAAGATACGCAACCTGTCCCAAGAGGTTTGTACAAAAAAATTGTGCATATAAATTTTTGGCAAGACTGAACCTGGAGTATGATCAAGTATGAATTTAGATTTTGGAAAAAAGGAAATAGCAGTATTCAATGAGGTAATTTCCATCGTAACATCAGAAGAAAGCAAGAGAAAGGTCATGCTAAAACTCTGCTTCATTAATAGTTTAGCCCTAATCTCATGAGTTTTTCAGCCTCATCAGAAATCGAAGGAAGTACATTACCCTGAGAATGCAACTGTGGAAGCAAACAGTAGGAATCTTCTTGGTGTACCTTCTGTAAAAAACTTAGGCACACCAAAGATAAGTGTTAGAAATTGCATGACAAACTTAGTACCACCAGCAAATAATGGGGGATACAAAATGCCTCATAGAAGATTCTTAAACAGGTTCATATGACCAACAAGAAGAACTACCTATAGATCTTGCTTTCGAGGCGAAATTGAATGACTGTAAAGTTGATTGGAATACCTTGAGAAGTCTATCATGGAAGGTAAGAAATTGCTTACTTAAAGAGCTCAACCAATATGCTTTGTTATCATATAAAAAACATATTTTGAGCGAGCCCCAACTAATAATCGAAAGGGCTGAAGCAGCTTGTTTGTCCCTTTCTAGTAAGAGGAGCACCCTCATTCCAGTTGAGGAAAATCATAATCATGAGATTCATGCTCAGATAGATCCTTTATCAGATGACTTTGTCACACGGTTTGGATGCCTAAAATAAACCCTTTAAAACTCTTGAATTATAGACTCAAAAGTCGCTGATCATATGACAAATACTTGTAGACTTTTTCATACATATGTTTTATATTCAAGTATAAGAAGATTTTCACTAAAAATGGTTTCCTAAATACCATTGCAGGCAAAGGAAAAGTTAAGCTTAGTCCGGTCTTTATCTTATAAAATGTACTACATGTTCCTAAATTGTGCACTAATTTTGTGTCAGTAAGTAAATTATCACAAGATTTGAACTGCAAAATAACATTTAACTTTTTTCACTGTAACTTTCAAAACTAGAACATAGGAAAAATGATTAAACGTGCTGAAATCAAACGTGGATTCTACTACTCAGATGTACCTGAAAGAGCCTTCTATGTTGTTATCACCAACCCCGTACACAAAATTTAGGTCCACCATGACAGACTTGGGTACCTATCTTTTTCCATTTTAAATGCTATGTTTTTCTTCTTGTTTATAAATTTAGAATATGGAAATTTAAACTGTAATGGATGTGAATTTATAAATAAGTATTTGATATTTTTTATTAGTAATAAGAGACGTTCAGTTTTATTTTCATTAATTTACAGTGATATTTAGACACCATCTCCTATATCTAACATTTCTGAGGCTTGATGATTTTTATCATTTATTAACGATTGCACTAGAGTTACCTTATTATTTTTACACAAAACTAAATCTGATGTTAGTCACATCATATCTTAATTTTTTAATATGATTAATCCTCAATTTAGAACATTCATAAAAAATTTCGTATTGATTGTACAAAAAATCTTTTCGATCATATACTTTCATCATTCTTTTATTAGGAGGGAATTCTTCATGAATCATCTTGCATCCATGCTCCACAATAGAACAGAGCAGCAGAATCCAAAAATAATCATATTTTAACCACCAAAAGAGCTTTTCTTTTACAAAAAAATATTCCAGAATAATATTAAGACAAAATCGTCTTTACTGCCACTTACATTATTAATCATTTGATTACAAGGGTTATTAACTTCAAAAATTCTTTTGAAACACTTCAGTAATTTTACTTAATTGTAAGTGTCACAAATTATCTAATATTTTAGATATTCAAATGTATTATCTTTGTTCATATTTATTTCTACCAAGGAAAAAAACTTGATTCATGTACTATAAATTGTGTATTTGTGGGGTACTTTTCCTCTCAAAAGGGATACAAATATTATAATGCGCACAGTGAAAAATTTATGTCTTTGCAGGTATCACATTTGTCGAACAAGAATCCTAATTTATCTAACTTTATTTTTAGGGGTGCCTATATTAGAAGATAAAGATACATAATTCTTAAAAGATTTTAATATACCACTTTTACTACACACCTTAAAACCATCACTACAAGAGAATATTTGGAACCTATTAGAAAACTCACAACCACAAGAAAACCTTCAAAACCCATCATCTCAAGAGATCATACTAAACTCTAGGTTTTCTTAGATGTATACAAGAAAGAAGACCCCTAATATTGAACCAAATCTAATTTAAGAATCTGACATGATTATAGAACTGAGGTAACTCCCGAAAACTTATTATACTTTGTAAAAGTACAAAAGAATGCACTAAACATCCTATGTATTGCATTTCATAAATTTGTGTTATTTAACAACAGTTAATTAACCCATAAAAATATCCTCACAAGTTTAAGTAATGAGTATACTTCTAAAACAACATTTGAGGTATGTCTTGTGAAAAATAAAAAAATGCTATGAGTATAGAAATGCATACAGTTAAAAAGAACCAAAATTGAAAAATGGTGAATTTATCCAAAAGCAAGAAGCTAGTAGGTTACAAATGAGTTTTCTCAATTAAATATAAAACAAATGGAACAATCAAAAAGTATAAAGTGAAACTAATGGCAAAAAACTATACACAAACATGCAAGATAGACTACTAAGAGATATTCATACCAATAGCCAAAATATATATTGTGTTAATTTTATTATCATTAGTTGCCATCTTTGACTTATAATTACAATAGTTTGATTTAAAAAATGTCTTATTGCATGAAAATTTAGTAGAAAAAATCTACATAAATATTCCATCAAACTTTAATAAAGAAGCAAGAGCAGATAAGATATGTAAACCAAAGACTACATTGTATGGACTCAAACAGTTATTAAGAGTATAGTTTGACAGTTTCACAAAGATAATGATAAATCTGTGGTTTAATCAGACTCAAGGAAATCACATTCTATTCATCAA